CAAGGCCATACCCGGACCGTTGAATTTTCGTTGTATCACTGCGAACTGCGTTGCGCCTTGCAGATGGTTGAACCCTAAACGGTTCAAAGTAAGAAGAAGATAGCAAACGTAACGAAATAACGCAACAAATAAAGACTGTTCGGCTCACCTGATACATTTCCAACGTACTCAAACCTGTAGTCATAGTCTGCCGCAAAGTCGGTCATTATATTGTACAACCTTCACGAAATTTATTCATACAACAGTATATCAACTGGTTAACTGTGCCTACCAAAATTTGAATTCCTGCCGCGTGAACTCGAATTTATGGTCACCATGGCGAAATTGTTTATTAGGAAGACCAAAAGCTTCATTATATTCATGATTGGGTGTTGACAAAATGAATAATTGTGGCTGTATGGTGAGGAGCACTGCTCGCACATACCGTGTTGCATCCTCTTGTGGGATATGTTCGATCCTAAAAAATGTTCTCTAATGCTCAGCATAATGTATAATCTATGTGATTAGCACCCCATCTTGTACACGTTAACAATCGCGCACGAAACAACGAATCAATTTGCATGAGAGGTGCACGACGCGCGCGCATGACGGTGCATCCGTTGCCCACGTGCCACTTGTGCGAATATTGGCACTTTACACTGTAGCTCAGTTTGATGAAGAGCGCGTTTGCGGAGTAGAAGAAAATAATATGGGAAAAGCTTTTGATTTCTCAGGGATTTTCAGGGGCTTCAGTCGTCAAAAAATGAGCGTGCGAGGCAACTAGGATTTATTAGCCAAACTTTGATGTGCAAAATAAGTCGATTATACAATTTGTAATTTTAAGGCAGCAGAAATCATTAAAAAATAATTTCAATTTCAACCCACACTTCAGTTGAGCACACACACGACGTGCCAGCTAACCGCTCATCATACTCCAGAATGTCACCTAAACGAAGATCTCAAGTAGAAAGTAGAATATTGGCAATATATGAGATTACAGCACCTTGATAGACTTCGAACAGTACTGGTAACGAGTTTGAACTACATATGATGTTTTCATTCTGATGTTCAGTGATACTGAAATTTGAAAAAAAAACTTGTTATATTATCTAAATTTGCTTCAAAGTAAAATTCGAAAAAAGAGCAATCCACGAAAGAGTAGTAAAATGTACCTCACTTGAGTAATTTCAATCCTTTGGCTAATTCTTGAGAATCGATATCTACTGAAATTACACGTTCAACTCCTAGATCCCCAAAATTGGTCATCAATGTCCGTTCCAAAGACAATGATCCACAGCCGAGAACCGCCAACTAAAATCTCACTTAACACTCTTTCTGTGAAAGGAATTTTACTTACATACTTTTTTGATTTTCTCGTCCATCTCTTCGATATACCTCGATAACGTATTTC